GACCGCCGCACGCAAGCCTGAGTCCGGCGGACGCGGCTTTGACCGTTACCCCCCGACTCCTCCCGGCCCGCGCGCTCGCCCCCTCTCAGCCCTTTAAATCACCTGCCGCCGGCCGCTCCGCGCTCGATTCATTCTCCTCGCTCTGTTGCTCTGTGCTCGATTCGGGAGCCTTGGTGCGTGGCCTCGTTGCGCAGGACACCCGGCGCACCATAGCTCTCTACCCGGAAGTGCGCGCGGGGTGGAGGGTGGAAGCGGCGGCGGCGAGTCCCGGCCCCGGAGCCATGGCCGCCGCCGGGCCCGTGGGGAGACTACGGCGCCTGTGTCACCGATACCAGGAGTACGTCAGGCAGCACCCGGCCGCCACTGCGCAGCTGGAAGGCACCGTGCGGGGCCTCTCCTACCTGCTGCCAGGTACCGGGGCGGGGACCGCATCGCCACCAGCCTCACTCAAGCCCGCCCGCGCCGCTCAGTCCCGGAGGAGAAGGGCTTGTCCCTCGGCGCGTCGCACCTGCTGGGCGGCAGCTGCCAGCTCTGAGCGCGCGCGTGTGGTGAAGTCCGGGAAGGTCCGTGCCCCAAGTGCAGCTCGGGCTGGGCTGGGTAGCCAAGTCTAAAACCCGGGATGCCTGGCTACAGTGTTTTGGCATATCGCTTTTGGCCCGTAAGAAAGGAAATAGCATCTGTCATCAGCCTGAAACACACCCACCTTCCCCCGCTGGACTTGTACAGAAATCGGAAGGTTTGAGAAAATAATAAAGCCTCCTTGCCAGAAGGAGAGAGAGAGCAATGGGAAGGGGAGGGAGTAACCTGATTTTTTTTCAGGGCTTGAGAGTATTAACCTCTGGGAGCCTTGAGGGATGCTTCACACCTTTTTTTTTATTAAGCTAAGAATTCCCTATCCAGCATTCATTAAAGTAACTGTGTCTCTCTGAAGCAGTGATTATGGTGGCTTTTCAACAGCAAGACAGACCCTCCTCTAACATCCCTTTGTTTATTTCCTTTGTTTATTTCCCAGGTCGCTTTTCAGATTCCCATGAACTTTCTGAGCTTGGTACGTATGCTGGTGTATTGAAATATGGTACCAGAATTGTGCCATCTGCAACTGTGTTGTACAGACTTTGGGGAGAGCAGGCTGAGCAG